GAGTGAGTGAGTGAGTCTGCTCTCCCTTGTCTTGTGAGCATGCTCATTTTGCTTTCTGGTCTACCTCCCCTGCCTGCCGCACTGTACGCTTCTCAAGAACGTGAATATTAATCAGGGTTGTTGTTAGATGCCATTCAGTTGGTTCTGACTCCTAAGGACCCCGTGTACAACAGAAAACCTGCCTGGTCCCCTGCCACCCTCACAATAATTGCTAGGCTTCAGCCCATCATTGCAGCCACAGGACCATCCATCTCATCGAGGGTCTTCCTCTTCTTCACCGGCACTCGACTTTACCAAGAATGCTGTCCTTCTCCGGGGCCGGCCCTTCTGATAACATGTCCGTACTTTCCCCGAGAGCAGGATTGTTCATCTGCTGGCAGCCAGGGCACAGTCAGTCTTCTTTGCCAGCACCACAATTCAAATGCATACTTCAGTTGTGTTTACCACTGCCTAATCAACGCCGTATAGAGTGCCCTCCGTATCCTTTTGGATGAGTGGAAGAATGATACCAAGAACATCACTCCTTTTGGTAACTGCATTCATGGGTGTGCTTGAAAGATAAGAGCCGGTGCGAAGGAGAACGTTCTGAATTCCTTTGGGGCACGAGTGCAGCTGCAGGGGTTGGGGAAGGAGACTTCTGCCCTGGGTTTGAAGGGGATGGCTACCAGTTGTTAAATTCCTTGTCTGGTGCCTAATTCATAGGTGCCCAACAGATGTTTTATAAGCTAATGCACATTACATTTTATGAAAGAATTTATAATATTTCTAGGCTTATAAGGATTGAGTCTCTCTTGTTATTTGTGGAAATGCTGAGGGATTTTTGCTCAAGCCGGCCCTTATCTACAAGGCCAAGAATCCTAGAGCCCTAAAGAACAAGAATAAGAACCTGCTACCAGTGCATTGAATGCACAACAACAAAGGTTGGATCACGAAGCAGCTGACTTTGGAATGGTTCCACTAGTGCTTGCTTCATCCCCCAAGTCAAATTATATCTTGAGGAGAAGGGACTCGAATTTAAAGTACTTCTCTTCATGGACAATGCCAGAGGTCATGCGCAAGATCTATCTTACGATGGTGTGAGGATCGAGTTCCTTCCTCCCAACACCACTTCGCTGATCCAACCC